TTCTTCACTGCGAGATTATATATACAGTTTAAATTACCGCACTGCTTCAAATGTAAGGCACTTAAACTAGTATGGCTTTTTTATTTTCCTTGGTGATAGAGCTTCGAACAGCGTCAACGGCACCATTTTGGCGAATTATGCTTCATTTTTCTTTAAATACATGGTATTAAGAACAATAGACCTTGAATTAAGACCAGTTTTGATTGTTTGGTTAGGCAACGAATTTAATTTTCTCAATTGATTAAATATACTCAGTTGCTTTTTGATTTCAACATTTTAATGCCTGCGTGATAAACCTTTAAAATGTGCAGTTACTGTAGATTAGATTTTATAAGTATGAAGTACGAAATAGGTTCTAACAGTTTTCGGTGCCTTTTTAAAAAGTGAAGCTAAATTCTTTTTTATTTATTATCATCTCCTTTCGTATTTTTTAAGCTCTTTCAAACCATAGATGAACAAACGTAAATAACAAAATGAATTTATTACCAAATGAAATTCCATTGTCATTTTTCTACTTAATTACCACGAAGGTTTGCTATACGCCAGACATTCTACGTACAGTTATAGAGCTTTAAAATATTCCTTTCGAAAATTATGTATCTGTATAAAAATTAGACATTTTACGCAATCTTTTTAAATAATATTAAAATGATGCGACGTGGACAAGATTGACTTAGAAGCTTCGCATTGGTTTGGAATCTTTGATCCGGCGCGAAATTCAAAAACAATGGTCAAAGCCAACAGACGTCGTTAAGTGATAATATTCACGATGATAATCATAAAAACTAAAACTCAACTAAATCATAAAAATATTGATAATTATTCATTCATTTTCACCTAAGTGGAAAATAATGCGAAATCGACAACATTTCAAAACAGATTAATAAGATTTTAGATATTCATCCACTTTAAAACTTAACCTATTTTTTTTAACTATATATATAAATATATATATTCATAAAATAGTAAAAAATACGGAGAAAACCTGAAAAAAATCTCTTTTCATTAAGATTAATGAAAAGAGAAGAAATTATTAAAATGAAATATTTTTAAAATATTTAAAAAAAAATTGATTAAAAAGCCTCCTTAAACAAAGTATACATGGTTACATCCTGCATATTGTGCTTTATTTTATTTTAAAGAATATTTCATATAATTCGAATCAGTTTTATTTTATTTCTTGAGACAAGCAACTTTTCTGGGAAATACTTTTTGATATCTGACCTAACCAAATTAAAAAAATAATAATAGTGCGAGAGAGAGAGATTTTTAACTTCTGTTTTACTTTGCTATTTTAAAGGATTCGTTTAAACTTGTGCTTATGTGAAACGTTACTATAGACACGCTAAAAATTTGTAACAACTTCAACTTGATGAAAGTTTTGTTGATTTAAAAGTTAAAACTAACATGAGAAACACTTAATACATATAAGAAATAAAATCACATTCAACACCATTTTCCTAACAACAACAAGGAGGCAGGTCACTTGGTACCCCAAGTGCATTGATATGCAGTGTGGACCACCATGGATTGATGTGCAGTGTGGAACAAGATGAGAAAACGGCAACGTTTCTGTAGCAATAGGATTTACAATTTACACAATTTTCAGGGATATGCTATACACCAATGTGTGCAACTCAATGGCTCTGACTCAATGAATGACTTGAGATCAGAACCAAGGTATCATTTATTCACTCGCTCTACAGATCAAATCTGTCCTTAAGTGATTTCCCCACCTTCGGCAAGCTTTAAAAATGTACAGCAGGAACAACGGTTTTAAATGAGCGAAGAAATCAGCATGAATAAGGTTAAAACATTTTTTTCTAAACGGAACTTCATGCCACTAATGTCACAATGGTATAAATACCCAAACGATTTCGGACACAACTAATGAATTTCATTAAATAAATTGTATGAAACGTCCTCTGTCTCATTATTTATTGACTGCCTCATTATTTAAATAGTTTAAAATGTATCATTATATGATGTTAAAAAGGACGCTATACCACGGAAGACACCCTTCATAGCAAATCCTCTCAGGTGTTTTAAAAATATAAGTACTGAAAAAGTAAGTTCAGGTAAGCTTAGAGTAAACCATGAAAGATCAAAAACTGAAGAAAAAAAATTCAAAATGCAAACGAGTTATGCAGTGGGGATCCTGCAATAATTTGCCAGTTGAACAAGTCAAGCACACCAGCCATTGGTCTTTTGGGAATTAGGTCAGGAAGGTGCAACTTTTATTTGACAAGAGAGCACCAAAAAGGTGAGAGGACGTTTTAGCTCAGAACCCCCAAGGATAAATGGCAACACCACTCATTCGTGTGGCCACTTCCTCAATTTAGGCATAGATTTGAAGGGGAAGGAAATTTTCTCCAGATCCCTGGTACTGCTCAGCAACTAACCACAGGACTTCCGATTCCACAGATTTTTACGAGCAAGTATTTCGCATGTACTCGGTGCAATAATTTGCATCTTGAAAATATTTTTCTCAGCACTTAAAACTTTATGATTTTCTCTTAGATTTACATGAACTCCTTTTTCTCTAAACTTTAAAATACGAATGAAAATGAAACAGAATTTGCAGTGAAAAGTTTCATCAGCAATATAGTGTCCTCTTAAGGATATAAAAATGTGATAACAAGTAATTTTTATTACTAATTGAATGGACAGTAAAAAAAAGGCAGTTCAGAAAAATTTACAAAAAAACAAGATAGAATATGTTTCTAAGTATTTCAGGAAACAGTTTTGGATATGGCTAGGCAATTGCATTTGTAGGGAGTTTTTGTTTATACCCAAGCTTCGTAAGTAATAATGTTAAAACAGAAAAATGAGCAATTTTAATGTTTTTTACATAGTAAATTATTTAAAAAATTGCAATATTTTTTTCTCATTTGAGAAATTTAAGACTTTGCACGAGTAAAACCTCGTTCCTTGCAATATAAGCAAATTTCCTAGGAGCTTACATAATGATTGAATAATCCCATATATAAGTACAAATTTACTAGACAAGAATGTTTTAAGTAAAGCAAGTTTTAAAATAACATTCTTTTCATGTAATTAAATGAAGGGATGGAGGAGGCTATTTATAATTTTCCAAAAAGTTTTACCTAATATCATTTTGAATGTATCTAACAATTCTTAAAATTTAAAACATTATTCTTCATTTTGAATGATACAAAATATAATTCAGTTGCATATTTTTTAGTTGTTAAAATTTAAAATTTTATTCTTCATTTTGAATGACACAAAATATAATTCAGTTGCATATTTTTTAATTATTAAAACTTTATTCTTTATTTCGAATGACACAAAATATAATTCAGTTGCATATTTTTTAATTATTAAAATTTAAAACATTATTCTTCAATTTGAATTACAAAAAATATAATTCAGTTGCATATTTTTTAATTATTAAAATTTAAAACTTTATTCTTCATTTTAAATGATAGAAAATATAATTCAGTTGCATATTTTTCTAATTATTAAAATTTAAAACATTATTCTTCAATTTGAATTATACAAAATATAATTCAGTTGCATATTTTTTAATTATTAAAATTTAAAACTGTATTCTTCATTTTAAATGATACAAAATATAATTCAGTTGCATATTTTTTAATTATTAAAATATAAAACTTTATTCTTTATTTTGAATGATACAAAATATAATTCAGTTGCATATTTTTTAATTATTAAAATTTAAAACTTTATTCTTCATTTTGAATGATAGAAAATATAATTCAGTTGCATATTTCTTAAATTAGTCTTTCTTTTTAAAATTGTTTAAGTTCACACAAGCTTCAAAACACGGGACAAGCGTTGATTAGTCATAAAATTATGAAATCTGTTATTTATAAAAAGTAAGTAAAATTAAACTGAACTTACTTAACAAAAAGACATTTTTGATAAAGTATATTTAATTATGGTATGACTTAGTACTTTAATTTTGTCCCCCTCAAAAATTTAGACATACACGACATCCATGTATTTAACTCTGTCTATGAAGAAGTTATGTTTATTCGGTTAAGGTATGCTTATGATTTCAAATTCTAATTATTTGCTTGCAATTATTAGCATATTAGGCGGTGTATTTATTGAAAAGTAAATATTAAATATCAGGAAAAGTAAAAATCCGATTATTTAATCAGTTATTCAATGATTTGTCTCCCTCTCTCGACTTTAAGTCAGCTAAAAAACTGATTCTATCATTTTAAATTCTAATCCACAAAAAGAAAATAAAATTCATGTCTAATCAAAATCAAATAAATGGTTCTTAGAGTTCAAATTTATAAATTTAATTACATAAATATTTATAAGTTTTTGAATAATACCAGCCTAAATAAATATTAATTGAAAAAAAACTGAACTCTGTTGAAAATTCTGCAAAAATATTAGAAATCTATTTTTAACCTTCTTTTTTTTAGTAAAAAAAATTTTTTTTAAACATTTAAGCACAATTTAACATTTAGATTGATTAAGCTGCTCACGAAATCAATATTTTATTGAAAGTCAATCTTGAGGAAGAACCTCTAAAAAGGATGACACAAGTGTATACATTATAATCATTATAAGAATAATGAAATACTTCCAGTAACCAAAATTTTTTTAATCAGAAAAAAAATTTAAAATATGCTATAAAATTAATTTTACTAAATTAATCATAGTACAAATATTAATAAAATTAAACAAACAAAAACCCAAAATGTTGGGAAAATTTGTAAGTAAATTAAGTACTATACAAAATTAGTCTAACTTTGTAAACAAAAAACCTTATAAATGGTGTGTTAGCCATTAATCCATATTATCCCAGCAAACTTAATATGAGCATGCATGGCCACACTAGCCCCGTGAATTAGTTTATTCATTTAAGCCTATTATTGTTTATATAAATCAAAACATTAATCAAAACTGAATGTTAACATATGTAATAGATACATTTAGTATAACAAAATATCTCCATACATCTACATGCAGAAAAAGAATACATTAAAACAAAAATATCAGCAAACAATCTTTTATTATCTTTTTTAAATATCAGATATACATAATACCAGTAAATAAAATGTCATTTAAAGTTGAACTGCCAGTAAATTATGTCAACATAATTAAAAATGAAAATAGATTTTTCAAAATATTTCCATAAATTATTACACAGTAATATTACAAGCAACAGTAATTCTTTCCAAAAAAGAAAATTAACCTAATTTTTTAAAAATAAAAACTAGTTGAATTTTTAAAAAAGAAAATTTCAATTTTATTTTAGATATAAACAGAAATGGTTTTAACAGCTCTAAGTACACACATACCAATTAAACCAACTTGGATAAAAAAATGTGTTAGAGATAATACCAAGAAAAGGGAATGTATTAATACAATAATATACAAATGACTCAGTGTTTTGAACATAACATATAGCATTTTCTAAAAGCTTGGCAAGACACACAGCATAATTGAATGGAGAAAAAAAATTCTTACTTAATATTTCGTGAAATTAGATTTAAAATAACAGTAAAGTAATTGGTATTTCAAATGTGGAGTGTTAACATGAATGAAAGCAATAATTGGGGTTAGATTTATATAATCTAGGGATTTGTCCTTCCTTTCTCTCAACCGAGCTCGCCTTTCTAAAGGGACGGAAAATTCTAAATATGCTTTTAATATGTTTTATTTAATTTTCACAAAAAAACTGATGATACATTTTTACTCAAGTAATAAACTTTTGCAAGTGCAAAAGCTTATTTAATTTTTTAAAATTTATTTGACTTTAACATAATGACATAAATTCATTGGGAAGAACTTTTAACTGGAATAAATATTGTAGAAGTTTTAGTTAAAATTTTGGCACAATATTACACAAATGTAAGGAAATTCAATTTTATTTTATATACAAATGTTATATTTGTATTTTTTGCAAGTAATAAATTTACGGTAATTATCATCCAATAACGTTAAAAAAAATATTGCTATCCTAATACTTGCAGAAAAAAAACTTTTTATTTTTTTTACATAACTTTTTTTGTACATACATAAAATTATAGTCACATAAATGATTTTTAATCTCAAATTCTATAACGCAATTGTTAAAATTTTAAAATATATACAGTCACATAATTTTAGCTCATATAATGGAAAATAAATAATTTTTGATCATTTACAAACTTCAAATTTTTCCTGCAAACATAGTTATTTGGCATCAGTCGATATACTGAAGATACAGAAAAAAAATATGAAAGACAAAATCAAGACATTTACATTATATAGCATAAATTAGAATTTGACTACATTGACTGAAAAATATAGCATAGCAAAATTTAAATGTCGTCATAACAATTGTATTGTATAAAACAATAATAAAACCGGGGGAAAAAAAACTAATGATAAAAAAATAAAATGAATGAGACAAATATATTTAAAACAAATTTCAATACATTTATAAATATAAAAAATTTCATTTTGAAACATGAACACATAATAGATTATAACTATTTACAAACAAATAATATTCCAAACTGTTCAACAGTTGACCAGCATAAAATAATTCTGATTACTATAAATACTAGACCTTCATGAAACAGGTGCAGTAAAATCCCTCAAGCTGTTTAGTATTTTGACACTGAAAAGTAAGTAAAAACAAAATAAACTATTCTAAAAGTCTATTTCAAAAGAATACAAATGTCAAACAGTAAAATAGCATTTCATAAAAAAAAGAGTTTTTTTTTAAAAAATAAACACATTCTTTTATTTATTTCTAGTTAAAACCTTTCGCATTTTTTTATTTCTATTTAAAACCTTTCTAAACGGAAACTTATATTACTCAATAATTGTAATCTGAAGTTATGCAACTTCCATGTAAAGCCAGTAAATGTTTAGAGCAACGGTTCCCAATTTATTCCCCCTAAATAAAGATTCTTTTGACCAAACCAAGGTTTTAAAACGTCTATTAGCAGCTGTGAATATACTAACTGGAAGAAAAGAATATTACTAATTATTTTGAAAATATTTAATGTGAAGAATTAAGTACTTAATAATGAATTTGTTCTTGGTGTATGGGTTTACTAAAAATGAATAAAGAGAGCTGAATTTCGTTTTTAAAAAGGAACTGTTAGAAACATTGAGAACACCAAAATATTATTATTGAAAAAGAAATATTTTTAAAAAAAAAAAATTGCTACCTATTTTATTGGCATTTTACATAAATAATTTCATATAAACAAAACAAAATATTAAATAAATTATGATTGGATACACAAAAATCCTAACTCTTGCAACTCCTTTAATACTTCCACAGAAACCTAGGATTTTGCAAAACACCTTTAGGGAACCACTATTCTAGATAATAGTGAAAAATACTCCACTCAAAAGAATTGATTACAGATATGAATAGGCTATACAGAGTTTTTACCATTAGCGAAAAGAATTATCTAAATTTTTGCAACAACAATCACCTTGCATTATAAAAAAAGATGAAATTTAAATTTTTGAGCAAACTTTATAAAATACTCGTTTTTAATTTTTATCTGTTTATCATGTGTCTTCATTAACTTTAGTTATTGACTAGTTAAGTTCATTATTAATATTAAAATACAGAGCCACATTAAAGCATAAATAACAGTCTACAATTACATATGCAGTTACAACACAGATGCTTACAACTACAATTTAGAAATCAGAAATTGACAATTATGTTGCGACAGAATTTTAATTGAAAAAAAATAGATATATAATAAAGTAAGTACAGCTTTATTTTTAAAAACGTTTAACAGGTATGGTACAATTGAAAACAAATAATAGCATATTAGTTACCCATTTTCTTGATCAATGTTCATATTTAGATTAATTGTTGACTAGTCAGCATTTCTTAAATATGAGCTGAATTTCTCTGCAGACTTGATTTCATTTAAGAAGCTAGATAAAAAAACATTAAAATTAAAAAAAAAAGAACACTAAGCAAAATAACAAAATTATTTGGATAACAAATCAAGATCTAACATTACATATATGTATATAACATACAAATGTCGTATATAACAAACAAATACCAATAGCAAAATATAATAAGATTAAAAAAAATAATTGACAAGCATTTTACAAATTGTATTCTGTAGTAAATAAATAATGGAACATATTAACAACTTTAGGATCTAATAATCTGATTTTCATACACTCACATGCAATCTTAATAGTTCAAAGGGTTAATCTTAAATATGTCAATTTATAAAGACTGTATTTTTAATACAAAATCAGTCAAAAAAGCATACTTTCACTGAATGTTTTTGAACAGACTCAGATTTTGATTCCCAAAGTACAGGGGGTTGCAAAATCAATATTTTTCAATAGCTTAGTCAGGAAAGTTTGATATTTAGCATTACTTTAATTTTTGTATACTTTTAAACTATATAATTTTCAAAAATAAAATACAAAATTTGAATGAAATCTGCCAATTACTTTCTGAGAGATCAGATTTCAAAAAAGCTGTATTTTTTCATCTTTATTTCTGTCGAACTATTTAACAAACTTTAATTAAATTTTGCACTTTGCTATTTAAAATTGTTAAATTCAAAAATGATACAAAAATTTGTACACCTCAATATTAAAAAGGTTATATATTACTATTAACTAAGCAATAACAAATAATCTTAAAGAAATGGTTTTAGATACAACATATATTTGGCTTTATAACTGAATAATATTAATAATTAGATAAATCATTTCGATCCATTAAAAAACATTTTTCGCAAACATGATTATAGCAGTAAAATATATCATATGATAAACAGTATCTTTATTATCCAAATTTTTGAATTAAAGTTATTCATAAAAAAGTGCATTAAACTAAAACAATCTTAAAATCAACAAAAGAAAAGTTAAAGCAGCAATTCAAATTTAATTAAAATAATTAAGAAATACAATTAAAAAATGATTTATGTTTTACTTAAAATAGAAAGCAATGAGATAATTATTTTTACTTTGTGTCATATAACAGAAATTTGTCTTGAAACATTGTACAGTGGTTCAAAACAATGCATAAAAAAATAAAAAAATAACAGTATAAAAAGAGCTCAACTTATTTTCATGCTAAAAATACAATATGGTTTTTATTTATGCTTTTATCATAAATCGATTAACAACTGACCTAATTTTGAGTTAACTACCACCAATGTTTATATCTGTTGCCTTGTAAACTCCTGGATTAAGTACTCAGAGAAATTTTTTGATGGGACTCAAAAAATTCCTGCATTTGCGTTACATGGAGAGGAAAACCTCCCACAGTTAGTCTGACGGCATGGGGACTCCAACCCATGATCCACCTACCACTGAAAATATTATACCTCAGCATTGTGGTCGGTGCAAGTCGGGTGCGGAATTCCTATCTACCAGCCGTCACTGAGATTCAAACCGGGTTCAATTCATTGGGAGGCGAGCACTTTATTCCCTGACCCCCCAGTTTTTACAATACAATTGACTAAGCAAGAAAAATTATGTCTGCTATACCTGGTGAAGTTGTGAATGGTAGTTCCTCCAAGAATAACACGGACTCCCAGGCACATTTTATTAATCTGATGTACAGTAAAAGATTCTTCATATGTGACACCACCAATGTAAAACACAATTATATCTTGAGGTCTGAAAGAAATTAAAATATGATTGATCATGAATGAAACTGAGAAGTATTTCTCAGAGAGCCAATAAAAATGCAAAAAATGACAAAGCCTGAGTAAGTTGATTATTTGTAAGACAATTTATTGGTTTAATTAGACAAGTGGTTAGCTTATAAAGGGAGAATTTAATTCATTTAGTCAGTTTGGTATTTGATTATAAAAGTCAACTTTGGTGATCAACATGCGAGGTGGTAAGTTTAACAGGTTTCACAGAAATAATAAATACCCAAAGTTGTATGTATAAAAGATGTAATGAGTTTAGGCTGTTGTTTAAGATCTTTTTCTACGTTTTTACTGGTAATCTTTTATGAATAAACCATTATATACCCTCTACCTAGGACAAATGTCCTCTTAACTGGTTATGGATAATAATTTGCATTTAAAAAAGCTTTTTTAATCCCTTTAAAGGATTTTACCAGAGAAATATTGTTTTTATAAATTATACTTTGTCATTTTCTTGTAAAACAAATGTTACATAGTTTTTATGAGCAAAATAATGAGAAATAAGGAGAGGAACAAGTTTTTGTCTATAAGATGCAAAACAGTTCTTAATGACTTTGACTAATGATTAGTGTTCCCACCAGCAATGAAAGTTTAGTACCTAGGTAATACTTTAGTGATCAAAAAAGCAATCCTAGGATCCAAAAGGTAATCCTTTAGTGATCCAAAAACTTAATATGGTAGACAAACTTTATTAAAAAATCAAACTTCACAATTACATAATCCACATTATGGAACACGTAAAAATTATTATTGTCATCAATAATACAACTAAATAAGTTCTTTACCCCCACAATGAATAAAGATGAATATTTATTAAAATTGATAGGAAAGAAAAACTTGAATAATATTATTAACTTGATTCAACATAGAGATTAAAATGATAAAATGCCAATGAAAACCAAATGAATTAATAAATAAATGAGGAAAACAGAGGAAGTAAAAACTAACAAAAGTTAATTCTAAATTAGCAAAAAATATTATTTTGCTGGATGCACAACTATGCTGTCAGTACATGAAGGCAAACAACAGCTTAAATTTGAAATTTCAAGTTTTAAATTTTTTTGTACCATACACTCTCTTTAATTTTTTTGAATATCTCACAGTTAAATTCCATATCACACATAGAACAATAAAATTAGTGCAACATTTTTTTAAAAATGCATTGAATTCGCTACAAATTATTTTTGTTCCGATTATGTAAATTGCAAACATATTTCAAGGCGACAAATTTGTTGCCCATGTGTTTGATTTCTAACGAGGTAAGTACAACATTTGGAGACAATTGTGATCATACTGGTGTGAACCCTCCTAATGACTGATTGCATTATTGTATGATCATACTGACCATCGCAACAATCCTCTTTTACAAAAGGCTCATTGGGGCAGGATGCCTTACAGGTAGGTAGGTATAGACACAGTGTGTGTAACACACATCATACTTTAGATAGGTAACACACATCATACATTTCACATCATGAATTGAATTCAGAACCATTCAATAGTAACTCATTAATAAAATTTTCAATAATAGTTTAAATATGATTGTTTGATTGAAAAAAAAATTTTTGAGATCTCATACAACCAAGGATAGCAAAAATGCTGATTTTAACACATAGTTGATCTGTGGCGAGTAAACATGTCATTACACTCATAATGTCCTTATTGGTCAATGATCGGGTTAAAAATCAATATTTGGAATGTTTCAGTTTACTTCCATATTTAACTACAAAATAATAGATAACAATAGATATAATTTCTGTGCAAAATTGCCGGTCTTTAAAGGGTTAAAAAGGAATAAAGAAAAATCAGATTTATTTAGATTAAATTGCATTTTTTTAATATAATCAGATTGCTTTTATTATTTTTTTTAACATTAACTAACCAAAGAATCTCTAATAAAAAGTATAATTAATACTGAATATCATTTGAAAACAATATTATAACTAAAATAGTTAATATTTCATACTAAAATGGTTAAATTATTTAAATATTAAAAACTAGTTACTGAATAAATAAAATCATAGTTACTTTTTTCAACCTCAACTTGCTCTTAATTTAAATTTTTTATCTTTATTTTTTAATCTATTTTGAAACATAATAATTTACATGCAGATCCCTTTCCTTATTTTACAGTAAAAAACTTTCATCATCAATGAAATCGGACTTTAAGAAATAATCACAAGAATGTATTAAATATATTGCATAATAAAATATTTTAGTCTCGACAATTTTTTTCTAAGGATTTAGTCAGTTGAATAAATGATTTTTTTTATAAATCAGTGACTTTAAAAAAAAGAAAAGAAAAAAAGAATGAGATATAAATTATGATTTTGATCATATCTCTTCAAAAGTGAAGAAATTGAAGCTAAATTATTAAATGGATTGTAAATGCAAGCTAATGAGCAAAAATCATTAAAAACGAACTTTTATTAAATCTTTTTTTCTTTCTGAATCAATACAAAATCTAATATGTTAATAAATATGTAAGCAGTACATAGAATGAATTTTCATATGATTCGCTGCAAAATTTCCTTATTATTTCATAAAAGTTTAATCAAATATTACTGTAATTTTTTAAATCTTAATTATGCAATTATTTAATTATATCAATCTAGTTAAAACAGTTTATAGCAATTAGGTTTTTCAATTAGCATGTCTTTCAGCTAAGAGGACAATTTTCGCAACTCCGACGATCAGCACATCACTGTATTTATTTAATGCTTTCATAAATTGTTTCTTGTTTTAATTAAGCCTAAATTACATTTATACATACTTATGACTAAATTATATTCCAAATCATATTTGTACAGTTAAATAATACTTTAACATATTAAATCATAGAAAAAAAATTTAAATTATGGCATTGAATATGTGAATGATTCTAGCACCTAATAACTGGTAATGTGTAATTAAGGGTTCACATCAGCAATGAAAATTTAGAGGTCTATTTGACCACCTAGATCTAATGGACCACTAAATTCTAAATTTTTTCAGCATAGGACCAAAAAATTAATATGGTACACAAACTTAAGAAAAAGTAAAATTTACAATTACATATTTCATGTTATAATATACATCATAAATTATTAATTGCCATCCATAACACCATACAATTAATTTGGTTCATTAGCCCTAAATGATTGAAGATTATTAGTTATTAAAATTAGTAAATAGATTTAATATAAAGATTAAAATGCTGAGACCTATGCTAGGAGCTAGCGAAATATACACTAAATTTTATTAATTAACAAAATTAAAATTTCAATAAAATCAATTTTAACAGAGCAAAAAATATTATTTTGTTGATGGACAATTTTACTGTCAGTACATGAATGCAAAACACAGCACAACATGAACTTTTGAATTTAAAGTTTTTATTATTTTTTTTTTTTACCAGGCACTTTCTTTAAATTCTATTTGAAAACCACACATTTGAATTCCATTCCATGCACAGAACAATAAAATTAGCACAATTTTTTTTTAAAAATGCATATCTAATTTTTGTTATCAGGGTGCGTAGCCAAATTATTCAACAAAAAGTAAGCATCTTTTAAGCACTTAAAAAAAAAACCTTATGGCATTGTTTTTGACATTTGACAAAAACAATGCCATAAGGTTTTTTTGACATTTGTCAAAAATCATGAAATTTTGAATCATGTAAAACGAATGGCGTTTTCCTACGCTACAGACTGACAATACGCCGAAATAGTGTGGGGTTGAATTAATTGAGAAAACCTTGAACCAAAGTGAACTGTGTCATTTTGCATAATTCGTAACGAAAATCAACATGGTAAAGGAAGAATCTCATTTTGAAAAAGGAAAAATGAAGCACTTTTTAAAAACACCCAATGAAAAAAGCACTTTTAAGGACTTTTAAAAAAGAAAAATAAGCACCTTTAAGCTCTTTTTAAAATCGCTACGCACTCTGGTTATTATTTTTAAAATTTCAGACACATTGCAAGTTTGTCACCTTTAAGTATGATGTTAGCAACATTTGTAGAAATGTTAGCTTTAATTGTCAACATGTCGCACTACTGGTGTGAACCCTAGTGATGAATGATTTTAGCACTTACTTTTCCCTCAGTTGCGTGCCACTTAAGTATGGATAGGATGTTTCTTTTAACTTTCCTTTTAAAATTTCATCGAGTATTTCTTTAAGTAGTGGAGTATGTTGAGTGTATATATTTTCGACACCCTGCAAATACAAAATTTTGGAATGACAATCTGGAGATAAATTTTGTTACACATAAAATGCACAATCAATAAATAACCTTACCTTCAAACCTTTTATAACTCTTTTTGTAAATGTTTTGACATTTTCAGTTGTAAACAGATCATTACGCCCACTTTTATTGCCACTAAATTCTAAAATAGCTCGGACCATCTGAAAGTACAACTTATTAGTTTACCTAATGTAAAGAATTATTGACAAAACAATAGATACTCATAAGGAATCTACTATAATATAAGCAAAGAAAAATCATTTATAGGATCAAACTGAATGGATAAACTTTGTTGGTTGCAAATTTTAATTTCTCTCAATAACATAAATCACAGTGTCATTTTCAAATTATAACAAATCAGCAACCACTGACTGCAACTGCATTTGACATCTTGTTAAATAGATAAAATATCAAATATAAAATCTCTTAAAAGAAACATAGCGTTGCTAAATTGTTTCATACTGAAAAAAAAAAGAATTAATAAATATTTATTTTCAAATAATTACTAATAATGAAAATTATTAATAAATCATAACAATAATACAACTAAGAAGACAGTCTCAAATTAATAAGACTTTGTTGATTGAACAAAAAACTATAATTTGAACTTGATTACTGCAACTATTCCCAAATTTCCAAAAACTTAATTTTTATTGTTTGATATTTTTTTATTGTTTCATATTTTTTATTGTTTGATTGAAAACTTTTAACAAAATATAGACAATTTCTTTATTTATAAATGCACGGAAAGAATATTTTAGAAAAGACCTGAAATATTAGAGTTACCCTACAGCATCATTTACAAATCCCTCTGTGTACTTCAACGGAAAAAACAATAATTCGGTAATATGATATTTTTATATTATTTATACTTCACTATTATACAGTTTATAATAAATGGTATAAAAATATGAATAAATCAGGTGTTCTAACAGATCTTTTATTTCTCAGAGAGCTGCTTTTTCTGAAGCTTGTTACTTCCTCATAGAGTTGATTTACAAAGATAGGTTTAGCCCAGTGTTATTTAAGGTAGCAAAGCAGATTAAATTCCATACAAATTGTACAGAGTTATCACCAGGGTTGGCGAGGCTTTAGAATCTGCATAGCATTCATAGAAAAGTCTATGGTTCTAACCATACTGACCTAAGTCTGTACGTTCAAAACTGCTTAAACTACCAAAAACGTTTCTTAGCTAGAAGTTATAATTAAACAATAATAAAAAGTTTGAGATATTAGTGTTAAACAATAACACAAGATCAAAAACCCTATCAATTAAAATATTATTAAATGAGAGGATCCACAGCTTAAAATATTATAAGAAAAAAAAAGCAACAGAAAAAAAATTACATTTTTTTTCTCCATTTAAACAAATAAAATTAGAAAATGTAATGTTTTAAGTGAACTACGATGAAAAAAAAAAAAAAAAAAAAAAACGAAAACCTATAAATTTTTCTATCATTATTAATTGGAAATTTTGCCTTTTAAATATATTACTAAATAATTTTAATATTATGCTACAAATCTTTGGGTGGAGTTTAAAACTAAAAATTATTTTTTATTAATAAAAATATTTGCAATTAAATGTATTGAGATATATATTTAAAAGGCCTTGTACACTTTAACATATTTTGAGGACGGAAATTCCACGTATCTTGCTCAATATTAGTTTAGAACACCCAAAACTGCTAGCTTTACTTTAATGATTAAAGGGTTAATACATCAACTTTTGAAACAAATCTATTCCAATTACAAATATTACATTTTATTGGATATAAATATGAGAAAGAAAACTCTATACCTTAACGAGTTTTTCATTTGTATTCCTTTTCTTTAAGAGAGTAATCAGTCCATTGATATCGTTATTACTATTTTTTTCATAATGAAGAGCATATAGCATAACAAGTCTCACGGCATCAATTTCTCTAACTTTATCATCACCAAGCAGCTTCCTGATTTTCTGAAAATCAAATAAAATTATAAACGATATCCTAAATCAAATTTATTGATATAAAAATATTAATATGGTTGTTGTAAAGGTAAAATGAACAAATAAAACTATAAACTTTATCCTAAATCAAAAATTTTTGATATAAAACTATTAATATTGTTGTTTGAACTAAAATGGATTAAATATAACCAATGAAATAATACATAGGAAATTATCTTGATCAACATATTATTATTCAATGAAATAATGAGTAGCTAGATAGACTAGCATTAACTCTATAGCAGCTTAAAATTTATTCAAAGTTAAAAAAGACCGCATGATCAAATAAATGCCTACTACAGAAAGGATAAGATAATCTCCTTGAGCCCACTTATTAACTTCTTCAATCAAGTGTTCAAGAAAGGTCAAAACTCATTTATTCCCAGCTAATAAAAGTGGTTTTTAATGCTCCTAAAGAAAAAATTAATTTGTCATAACGAAAAACTTTGTCTGCTGTACTAAGAACATGGCATTTAAGGAAAATGTTTTAAATTTGTAAACAAGTCTTTTAACTCATAGCCATATTGCAAAATCAAACCAATCTAACAATGTGAATGCTCTGAAGCATAACTGAAAGAAGAATATTATATTAGCTATATTTTAAAATCAAACCAATCTAACAATGTGAATGTTCTGAAGCATAACTTAACGAAGAATTTAGCAGTAACTAAAGCAGAGCGCATTAAAATCCTCCAACACCTCTACCCTTGTCATTTTGCCTTTTTGATTTGTGTTTTCCTGATTTTTTTTTGGACTTATGATTACATACGATTATTTGACAGCACAATACCTTTTAAAAAAAGGTTGAAAATAAAGGGGTTATTTTATTCATTTAGAATTAATAGAGCTTTATAATATTTAGAACTTCAATGGAATTTTCCTTCAAACTTTAAAGAATTAAAAGTTATATGAATTGTAGTTTTGAGTAAGTAATTTAAAACTGCACATTAGTCAGTATATNATTATATTAGCCATATTGCAAAATCAAACCAATCTAACATTGTGAATGTTCTGAAGCATAACTCAAAGAAGAATATTATATTAGCCATATTGCAAAATCAAACCAATCTAACAATGTGAATGTTCTGAAGCATAACTCAAAGAAGAATTAAGCAGTAACTAAAGCGGAGTGCATTAAAATCATCCAATACCTCTACCCTTGTCATTTTGCATTTTTGATTTGTGTTTTCTTGATTTTTTTTTGCACCTATGATTACATAGGATTATTTGACAGCACAATACCTTTCAAAAAAAGGTTGAAAATAAAGGGGTTATTTTATTCAACTAGAATAAATAGAGCTTTACAATATTTAGAACTTCAAAAATTTTTTCCTTCAAACTTTAAAGAGTTAAAGTTATATGATTTGTAGTTTTGAGTAGGTAATTTAAAACTGCACATTAGACAGTTATAGATGTTTTAAAATCTAATTTAATTGTAGTTTAAACTAATGAAAGTTGACTAAGAGAGTACTAAAAAAAGTTTTTTAGAGCTATTTATACAAAAACAAGTTTATTTATCTGAAGTCTAAAATAACCGTATACTATTTTTAACTGCCTTTCAAAGAAAACTGCTGATTACAGAATCGTACAACTTTATTAGAAAAAATTAATACAGGATCTTAATTACTGTACATTTAATAACTCAAGATATGTTTGGGTGACGTCCTTGTATTTTACATGCATAGAAAGATTTCATTAAGTTTAAAAATTTGCAAAACTCATCCTCTATTTTTCATTCATATTTAGCACTGATATAGAGAAGACAACAGCATCATTAAGTTCAAAAGTAAAAATAAAAAACATTTTCTGTCAGAATAAAAAAAAATTTTTTTTTCTAGAAATTTCAAGGTATATTTTACAACACACAACTTTAAGAGTTGTATAAAAACTTAAAATTCATAAAATGTATACAATGAATATTTGAAAAAATATGCCCATAAATATAGTTTAGCTTTATGAAATGAATTTAGTAATTGTTTTTATTACCAAGTAGATGAGGATAACACACTTCAGTTATTTTAAGAATTGTAGCTAAATGGAAACAATTCACATCACACATTTAAATGGTTGCAACACGTTTTAATAACTGATAAATATTTTAACAATTTTTTTAAGTATAAAATAGTTTCTTAACTATATCAAAATTTTCAAGTGGAAGTAAAATATTTTTGAATGCTTATATACACTGATATTAAATACAAAATATTACCAAACACATTCAGAACTATAATATCATTCATTAGAGGTACTTACTAAGATTAACTGTTATGTATTTGGAGAACAATCTTGTCTCAAAAATTTATGACTTGGCTTATTATTTATTCATCATTTAACTGAAATCACAAGTCAGGTGATAAGCCTCATAAGTTATTAATAAGCTTAAATTACCTTTAGAGATTCTCCATGATCTGATTCGCAAGCAAGCTCTTGTTCTGCCTCTGATACTTCAAGGAGACTGTGGCTGCCAACTAATCTCGAGAGCTCCCCAACTAAAGTCACATGTTTAGAAACAGTACCAGACATTTTCTTAAATTGTGGGTATGTTTCCACAAATGCCTAAAAGAAGAAAGTATGATTATATTTTATAATGAACACATCAATCTATACAGAATGTTATATAGTGACTGCCGTTAACACACATCTTTAAAATCTTTGCCATAAATGCAGTGGAAACTATAAATGTAAAAAACTATAATTAAAATGTAAGAAGAAAAAAAAGGTTTCAAGCTACAACAAATCAGCAAATTGCAATTGAACTTGATAAAAGGTAAATAAGGAGGAATTAAAAATTATTTAAATCTAAACTTACGTTCCAGTGCCACTGAAGTAATTAACAAATTTTTGATTAATTTCATTTTACCATTGCCTTAAACTTCAATAATGATTCGTCAAAGTTTGGAAAAGTTTTTTTTAAAAAATATTTTGAACAATTTTAAAACTATATATTAAAAACAGTCATTGCACAGCATCTTGTAGGAAAAAGAACTTAAATAGCAAAAAAGGATTCATTTTGAAGGAAAATTTTTAAAAAATGGTTTTGTAAGAAAAAAAACAGATAATAGTTCTATAAAAATTGAAGTTTATTAAAGAATTTGAAGTAAAAAACTGTATCTTGCTATCTTAAAAAAATAAAATAAAAAAGTGAAAGATAAATAAAATAAAGAATTTAGAAATATTATTTTTTAAAGAATTATTAATAACAATTAATGTAAAATTTTATTTTATGACTGAATTTTAAAACAGAGAAAATAACAAGTTAAATTTTAAAATAAATAAATGTATCATACTTAGTTTATCAATTTATGTATATGAAATTAATTATCATCTATTTATTTTTGGAAGTATGACAGTTTATCTAATATAAATTGGATTTGACAATTTAAATTATAATAGATAGTTTTTTTTTGTAAGTTCAGTATATTTTTTAGATTTTAAGATAATTAGTTTTTCAAATTAAGGAAATTCATATTTTTATTAGCATATTTACAATAAAGAAACTTAGTTTTATATAAATATTATAACAAACAGCATGCAGCATAATTAATCATTTATTAACTTGACTCTTTATGTTACTCATTATTTTTTTATATATTTAATATATTTATTTCATTAAATAAGAAAACAAAATAACAATAAAAACAGTTAGTTAGATTTTTTTTGAAAAAAGGGAGAAGGTAAGTTGTAATCAAAATTAAGATTGAATGAGAATAAGAATAAAAGGAATAAAACAATTTTGATAGATAAACAAAATTACATACTTTCATATCGGCAATAGATTCGACTTTTTTCTGACTCTTAGTCTTTTTCTGGAAATCATCCATTAACTCCTTTATCTTCACACCAATTTCACCAAAATTTGAATATAAATTCTATAAAGGAAAATATATAATATAAAATTTCTATACAAAAAAATTTTAATTCACCACATACATACATCCCAATTTAAACAATGTCTCAATTGTTTTAAAAAAATGCATGCATGAAAATATTTAATGCTACCATATAGTTTTTTGAAAGTAAATTTTTTATCCTAATATAATGAGGTTCTTGTAAATGGCTGTTTAGGCTACAAAGTAAAGAACGGGTAATAAGAATGGTATAATTTGATTTACAGAAGCATAGAATTCATCATGTTCAGGAGATAAAACAACTTCTTGAAGTTCTTTACTGATTCCAGGAACATTGGATAGATTGACTCTGTTGTTGTTGATTGCAAGCAACTCGTGAACCATAGCTTGGTACGTCCACTAAAATAGAATTTCAATATAAACTCCTTTAGAAAATGGCAGAAAAAAACTTAAAAACAATTGATTAAATAGTAAATAATATTTCATATTATTCATGTAATATGTATTCATGTAAGTAGTATATGGAAGTAATTAGATATTAGAGTTCAAAATATTTATAATTAAAATTGAAACCAATAAGCATCCTATTTTTCTCATTGATGATTAAGTAATCTAGTCAGTTACTAATTTTCCGATTTTCCTGAAAAAAAATTTAATTTTTCAGTCAAATAGAAATTACTTTAAAATCAATCTGTTAAAAATTGGAAATGAATTCTTTTGAAAATATATGATAAAAGCAAACAATTAAGTACAGAATAGCAGAAACATTCTACTCTGTGTATTTATCATAACTTATTTTGTATTAGTCAAGATTTTTCTATTTATATGTTTGAATTGAACTATGATCCGTTTTTTCATTCATTTAACTTAATTCATGCCTATCTTTTAAATAAATAATTAAATTTACAACATTCACTAGTACAAGCAAATCCTTACCTTAGACCTCGAAGGTTACTTAACCCTTTCGAGCCGACCGTCACATATATGTGCCAGCAAGAAACGCGCTCACTTCCCGGCCGACACACCCGCGTGTCAGAGAGTTTTCTCGTTCACCCCCGACCGTCACTTATTTGTGCCAGCGTTTCGGAACGTTTTAAAAAATGAAATTTCTTCCAAAAGATGGCATTGTATGTCCATATGGTTTCAGATACATGTAGATTTGACCTTCTACTCAAGATGAAAGTACATTCACGTGGTTTTTAGGGGAAGGAGAGGAGGGGGGGAATGTTTTATGAGGGCTCTTTAAATTAGCACGTGATATTTATTTACAGTAAGTAAGGGAGTTTTTTTTATCTCTCGCTACTTTCGATTTTCGGATTAGTTTTTAGTGGATAATTAGATCTTGTAGGCTTGAATTTTTTTTCTTTTTACCGTTAGAATGTCGAAGCGTCGAAAATTTTTAACTGAGCTGGAAATAGAGGAAATTATGCAAAATATTTAAACTTATTAATATTTATATTACATTTAAACAAGAAATAACTTAAGTAAATAAAGTATCCATAGAAATATATATAAAGCATATGTCACTTAAATACTCTACAGAACAATATTAAACAACGTGCTGATATTTCGGTAATTTCAAGGAATTAGGCTTAACATCGAAAAACCCTCCGGACCTGGGGAGACACACGCTAGAGAGACTGCCGGCCTCAGCGGTAAGCGCGCTTTCGCGCTTTGCGTCGCGAAAGGGTTAATAATACATTATTTCATTAGACTGAAATAATTAATAAGCTACTAAAATAACTAATTATTTCATTAGAACACTAAGAATAATATAATTTATTTTTATTTCCTGTTAAATTTGTGGCATGCTCATGCCAATCACATTAATAAGCGGCACCGTGGCACCTGGTAAGTTTTTGTGTTAGGAGATATGCATGGTAGCTAAAACCATATTAAAAATCTTTTCAAATGTTAGTCTAAAATCATCATAACCAAAACTATAATTTTGAGATTACACAATGCAATAATGTTTTTAATTTCAAATTTCGCAACTACCAAGCAAGACTTTGAATAATTTAAGTAGACATACTTTTAGATAAAATGGTCCAAGAAATATTAAATTATTACCAAATGAAATCATTGAATTATAATACTAGACCTATAATCTTAAATCTAACTTAATGATCATCAAATATAATATTATTTTCAGAATTTTTTTTTTTTTACTTCAGCACAGAAAATAATATGGGTGCAAAATTTACAATGAACCTGATTTAAGAGTGGAGTGACTGCATCAGACTTTCGGTCCAGAATCAAGAGTAGAGGAGGTATGTCTGGTCTCCGGAAGTCAAAGAGAGCATTTTCCTTGGCGATGGTATGCTAAACAGAAGAAAAACAAATAACCCTTTCCGCTATGACATCGATTCAAATATAAAAATTTTTAATAATATAAAAATACAATTAGAAAATAAAAACACATGCAATCCTAATCTCAAGCAAACTATTGTAATCCAATTCATTAAAGGTAGTTGTAGGTCTTATATATTTGTGTGTGTGTATGTATGCATACATATAAAACCCAAAAATAAAAAAAGTAATAACATCTCTTTTGTATTAGCTATTTAAATATCTTGCAGACAACAGTGATATAACCAACTTTTTTTACTATGAATTATATCGTAGGTAATCTGTCAATTTTGAGCAAAAATGCCTATTTGGGATTAGAAATTTCATGTAATATAAAAAATTTTATTAATGTAAATATTTTAGGAAGTTATTACTACATTTATGGAACAACTACTAATGATTGGGCACCCATTACAAAAATTAAACTTAAAAAATTTCATTTTCACCCTTGTAAAATAATAACAATTAAATTAAACAATTATTTCAAAAACAATGAAAAGCTGAAATAAATATACTATAAGATAAATGAAATTATAAAGTACAGCGAAATGAATTTATTTATGAATAAATTAGATCATAGCCTAAATATCTTCAGCTAATTTAAAAGTAACTTCAGAATAGTCAGAATACACAATAACAGGTACAGGTACTTTTAACAGGTAAAAATTAAGAAATAAATAATGATAAATCCTGGGGTTTCCACATCCATTAAAAAAAAACTGTTATTAAGAAATGTAATTTTTGTTTTTTTTTAATAAAAAATAATTCAATTAATAAAAGCTTCATATTACAGATTGAGACAATTTTATTTTAAAATGAGTAAAGTAAGAATATATAGATATAAAGAAATTAATTTGAGAATAAATTGGATCATCACCTTAACACCTTCAGCTAATTTTCTAGCAGCTTCAGATGAATCCTGATACCTGATAACAGGTATTTTTTTCAAAGCCAACAAAATTGCAATAAGACCCTGTATCGATCTCTGAAGATGATTGGCACTCAAAGAACGACTCTAAAGAGACAACAAAACAATTGATTCATTCAGACAACAAGATAAACAAGTGAAATGAATTAAAGTTATTTTGGATATTGAAAATAGAGATCAATTGGAAATAGATTTTTTAAAAACCAAAAAAAAAAAAAAAAAA